ATTATTTCTACAGAAGTCACCGTGACACAAGACGGCTAGAGGTTCTCGAGATAAAAGAGTTTGACGCAAACTATTATATCCATTATCAAGAAGATAAATTAATTTTTTTACATTTTTATGGTTACGATATTTAGCTGGATCTCGTTCAAGTAATCTATTTAACCCCCGTTTACCAATGATAGTCAACGATTTCTCTGGATATACCCATTGACCATTAGAATCCCAAGCTGTGCTACTAATACCTTCAATAGATCTTTTGAAAGTATTCATATCTCGGTTTTTTGCTGTGTATGATAGAGCATGAAATCTAAAAAAACATATTAACCAATATAACTTCACTTAATTTTTAATTAATAGCTAAATATTAGATAGTAGTTCAATATTACTATCATATAATAAATCTCACTTTGCAATGGCTCGTAGACAAGAAGCTAAATGATCAAAGTCTAAGAAGAGACGATTTTCCGAAAGCCTATAACCTTGAGGATGCATATTTTCTAAAACGATCATTGTTTTTTCTAAGTTATCCCTGTCACTTTCAATTGCAGAATAAAATTTGGGAAACAGTTGTGTATAGTGTTTGGTTGAATGATGATTAAACGACATCAAAAATGGAATTATTTTTTTATACATTTGTATTTCATTGTGAAATTGTACATCAATATTCATATTTTCTAGAGTACCTTCATTTATTTTGATAATAACTTGATAATATCGACCATCCGATACTTTTATGGTTCCATAAACTATAATAGATTGAAACTGATCTTCACCTTCATTATTCAAATCCCGTTCAAATGATACAAAATAACAACCTTTACCGAAAGCTCCACTGTTCACAATATTTGTTAACGCTGAATCAGTCAGAAACGATTTCATTCTTAATGATTAAAAGTAAAAATACTGTGAAATATAATATAACATTATATGATTAATAAGATTTGTAGTTCCATGACCAATATTCGAAAAAGTGCTTTCAAAATCTCATGTAAAAAAAAATTATTAAATTATTTTTTTATATAAACATTAAATTTTTTTAAAAAACATAAATATACATTTTTCTTTATCATGTCTAATTCTATGTTATTTCTATTTCGGGAATTGAATATTAATGTAAAACATATCGTTACTGAAATTGAAAATATTGTGAAATTTATCATAATTAATAAAAGCTATGACATAATTAAAGAAAATATTTCCAGTAAATCCAAAAAAAAAACTTTTTATTATCCATGCAGTATTAAATTAATTATAACAAAATGAAATTTTTAGTTTATATAGAAAAAAA